TACAGTCACAAAAGGCAGGATTTTCCATTTGCAGCACTTATTTCAGCACAGCTGGCAAACAATTTTATATTACATTTAGTGTACTATTTCTTTTGCCCTTTTAAACGCGGTCTTAACAAATCATTAATCATCTGATCTGTCAGCAGGAGTGCACAGTTGAAGGCAGGCTAGTTTCAGTCTTAACTATGTTTGCACATGGGGAAAAGGCACCAAAAAAAAAAGAATTATTTGCCTACATTGTTTTCTGGCCCCGCAATATTTTGATGACATATCAAAAATAGCTCAAAGTAGGGACTCTGGCATCAGGTGAAGAAAAGCTATTCATCTGAATTGTTGATGGTAAAGGCATATTTCATACTCATACTTTTAAGTTCTCCCTCTGAAGTGGGAGAACACATTGACCAAACTTTTATTTTGGTTTCTTGAACTACGAAAACCAATAGCACTGACCCATCTGCCCATGAACTCCCAGAGTTTTTGCAGCTAATTCCAGGGATTGAACTTCTTTGCAGATGGAGCCACATTCCTCGAGCCTCGTTTCTCTAAGGTGCCGAGCAGATCCCCGGCAGCACCATGGACACTTGGCTCCCATCGATAATCCCCGGTGATCAGTGGATCAAAAAGGGATTACAAAAGGGCAGATGCTACCTCCAGTGTTGGGCAGGAGCTGATGGCAACCCAAAGGCCATCAGAGGCTTCTCTGAGCGGACTGTGCCACCCCGAAACACCAGTCACAGCGGTCTGAAACCTTTCACAGGGAGACCGTGGGTTAAACACTAGGGAAAATTTGATGCTTTTATGACATTAAGGTAATGGAAGAACCTGCTGAGGCAGGCTGTGGAATTGCCATCACTGGAGATGTGTCCAGGGCTGGGCCAGACGCTCGTTTATGAATAATGGAACCAGTCCTGAAACTATGCAGCGGACGGACTCAATGACCCGTTAGTGCCCAGTTCCAACCAAAACAGTCCAGTGATCTTAAAGCATCATCTGCTCTGGAATGAAACTGCTCCAGGAAATCTCCTGAGAAAAACTTACTTTAGAGGAAATTTGCTACACTTCTTGCACAGTAAGGAAAATTAAAATAAAGTTTAAAAAAAAAATTAATAATGTTAGGAATCAGGAGCTAGACTCACCATGTATTCCATATTAGAGGCCACCGGATACACTTGGCCTCTCAACTTATTGTGGAGCATCAATATTTCTTGTCTGTCTGAGAATAAAATGGCTCTCTTGGATCTGGAATGAGTTTCGCCATCCTGATATTTACTCAAAATGCTCTCCAGGTGACTCGAGTTGGGCAAGATAAAGCATTCGGCTGCCTTTGTGAGGAGCAGCGCACATCCAAGAGGAAGGATCCAAGGCAGGGCAGGATTCATTCCTCTTCTACAGCCAGCAGAAGCGGAGATGAAGATGACGGTAGGTTTTCTTGCAGGGGCTCCTGTAGCTCAGCACGGGCCTGAATTTTGGAGAGACACAGGCAGTCAGAGCAGTGCCAAAGAAGCTCTCAGCGCATAC